AGAAATCGCAATTACAGTGGTCCCTCATGACACCTTCATTTAAAGTCGCAGGAACACTTTTGTGTCTTGTGTGCACGGCAGTGATTAGTTCAGAGGAGTTCCACTGTCTTCCTGTAGCCCTCAGTCCTGCTCCTGCCCATCAGTGTCCTCTGCAGCTGTAGTTTACAGTTTAGGCACAGCTTTTGACAGCCGCAGCAGCACTCAGACCTATAACCAACAGGTTTGATATCGCTGCGAGGAGTTTTACAGCCTTAAAACATACAGCTGCTACTTTGGAGATTTGGCTTATTGCAGGATATTTTTTAGAACATAACAAGTAAATATTACTTTAAAAATGGTGCAGCCCCAATGACAAAGATAGGACAAGGATACCCAGTTTCACCAGTGACGTTTTAAGGCTATTATTAGATTTAATTAGCTTGTGCCAGTTGCTTTACAGTATCACAAAGAGGTCGCATAAGCTATGATAATGAATGCAATGGATTCAAAGGAAAGTTTACAACAGCAAAAATAGTCCACTTTCTTGCTTTTCACAGCTGCTTCAATAATGTAATGTAATGAAGTCGTCGCTAGAAGTCATTTTAATGCGCTACAGCTACCTCCGTCTGAGTCATTAACCACCAAAATGATGACTATTATTCACATCACAATCGAGTGTGACCTCGGGTGCCAGTAGAATTATAAATAGATGAAAATATATGAAATGTCTTAATCATGAAGCTTTGAATACATATCCTTGCTTTAAAACTCAGTGAATGGGTTCTAATTGAAATACAGCAGTGCCAAAATGTTGGTTCAGCTCAGACACTGGCTGAAAGGTAATCTAAAGAAGAAATATTAAGCATGATTTTGGTCCATCAAAATTATATTGAGACTATTTGCGACGTCATTTCATGTTTGGCTTCTTCCTACTCCTTTTGAACATGAATACGTTTTTTGTTTTTGTTCTTACTGTTTTTTTTTAAAATATTTATTCTATGTTCAAATAAACAAACATTAAATGTAAACCAAGATTATCAGCAGAAGCATGAAGGATAAAAAATGCTTTCTGCCTGTAACTCCATATGCTGCCACCAGAGGGAGGAGTTAGGAAATGTATGTCTCATCTTTATTTTTTACTCCCATAACAACCCATACGTTTGATTACACATTGGAAAGACACTGCAAAAAATGATAAAACATGAGGTAATCAAGTGGTTTTAATCTAAAATTGAGTAAATTTGGCCTCAAAGCTAAATTTGCCAATGGGACAAAGCCATGTAGTCTTATTTCAAGAACTACTGCATTATTTTCTCATTCCAAGGGAGACATTTCTTCTTTCATATTTTTGAATCAAGTGTATATATCAGAGAAAGGCATTAATAATTATTTTGTCTTGTCCAGAGGCATCACCTCACACCATTTGCAAGCACACCACAATTCTCTGCTATATAAGTCTCTTCTCCGCATAATTGAAAGAATAAAAGTACTTGCACGACTCGACTAAGCCTTATTGTATCCATAACACAAAAGCCAAATGAGATAATTCAAGCTGGAACAGAGTTAGAATTAATTCCACATATCGTTTTGGCTTTCCTTTCATTTTTGAGCACAGTAGAAATATAATCAGGATGATGAACGACGGTGGACTCCTGTGAATAATCTTGAACCGCGCCGAGATCCTTATCCAGACGCCGCTCGAATTCAAACCATTTCATCATCAGCGCCTTTTAAAATGACTCTCCCCGCGTTTATCGGTCATATATCTGCTAAAAATATTCACTTCTGTCAGCCGGTTTTTACCCTAAGACAAACTCATCTTGTATAGTAGGCAGCTATATCCTCTGTTGATGCTAGAGGTGTGCACGCTGTGGATTGGATCAGACAGAATAAAATGTATTTAAACTAGAAAAACACACAGCAACTTTAATTCCATAATCAAAATTAAAGATTGAGAGATTTAAAAAAGAAAAAGGGGCGGAGTTACATGTTTGTGATAAAACTATAGGTTCATTTCCCCACTGTGATCTTTTATTCATCCCACAGTGGAGAAATCTCAGTGTTGCATCACCGGTTACAGAACTGTAGGAAGGAGGAGCACACAACACAAGATAAATGAAAAATAACTCTGTACTGAAATTAAATAAAATCTTTAACTTTAGCATAAAAAAGAAGCATGTATAAAATCTCTAGCTTTAGCATAATGAAGAAGCAAGAAAAAAAGTATACAATTTGAACATTGTAAATCACTTTTGGTGACCTTGGTCTGTAAAATGCACTACATAAATAAACATTACTTACTTAAAGTGATTGTCTGGAGTTTGTCAGAAAGAGAGACAGAGAGGTACTTGATTTGAAAAAAACGACGCAAGCTCCCTTCCCCTTCCTTTCTGATTGGTCTACACCTACGTTTCCGTAACACTTTGAAATGTTAATCAGAGAACATATTATACATATACATTATTAATACACATGCACGGAGGTTTTCAGAATTATTTGTGAACGTTTTAATGAAAAAAAATATGTTTTTATGCACACAAAAAAGCGATCGCGGCAAACCAGGAAGTGCTATTATCATGAATTGCACATTATAGGACACATCTGCAGAGGATCTGATTATGGATATAGGTTCAGTATATACATAAGTACCTCAGCGCGGATGTTCAGAATTCTTTGTTCAGTTTTCATGTAGTTCCAGAGCCTAATAGAGGCTCAGCAAAAACAAACAACTGCGCATGCGCGCAGCTGCGAGCATCAGCGCCGATGATTGACATCCCTTGGCATGACTCGATTGGTTAACCTCGACGGCACCGTGGATTCTGACCTATAGCTAAGAGCAGGGAAGGCGGGACTTACCTGTAATATTAGAATTAATAAAATGACTTATTTTATATCAACATTTAAGGCCAGGAGGTCAATTTAACACATTTCCTAAAATTTGTAATTAATTTAGAGTTACAGACTATCACTTTAACTTTAGTATAATAAGAAGTAGGTATAAATTCTCTGTCCTAAGCATTTAGCAAGAAAGTCTAAAATACTGACTTAGAGCAAGAAATATACAGCACTCAAAGAGGCTTATATCCAGATTGTGGAACTAGACCTGAATACTAAGGCCACAGATCCTTACATGGACTTCCTGCCGTCTATCCGTCTGTGTCAGCTGCAGCCTGCTCCTCTCATAGACTGTAAATAATCCTCCACTCTCTTCCGTCCCATTTTCACAGTCCATCATTCCCCTTCGTACTAGACTTTAAAAAATCCATTTACGACAACTCTGACATCTCTACCTGTTGGGATAAATGCGCCACGTTTTATCCTTTCATTCATTCATTCATTCACAAAGAGTCTCATCTGTCATCTGTCTGTTTAAGTCTGCAGGTTGAGGAAACAGACGCTGGGAGAGAAGCAGAACATGAGATTTGTGATGGATTTGTGTGAACTGCTGTGTCTGTGTGCATGGACACGCACAGCAGCAGCAGCAGCAGCAGCAGCAGCAGCAGCAGCGTCACACTGAGCTGGCTAATATACCGGCAGAAAGAACATGTCGCTCAAGTGTCCGGACTATAACAGGCTCCAGGTCTGATGAGGGCTAGCAGAGCGAAGGCATCCCACCCCCTGATGACATGAGTGTGCTTTCTGGACTGCTGTTCTGGTGTGTCCACTACCTGCTTGTCGCCAAAGATATGTTATTGTTTTGGTTGGAGAGTTTCCCAGTTGGGTTAAAAACGTCTACATTAGAGCCGGAAAACAGTGCGATATGCTATATCTGCCTTAACGATATATTACCCATAGCAAATTATCCTTGGCTATAAATGTTTTAGTGTTTCACATGTTGATTGTGTACACTTGTCCCCATCAAATAAATGAATAAATAAAACAAATATACTGCAATATTTTTGTTTCCCCAAAAAAAATTATGTTTGCCAAGATAAATGCAGTATAAATGCATACATTATTTATCCCCGTAGGGAACTTTGTCACTGCATTTCATCCTGATGCCACTAGGGCGTCTATCAGGAGCAGTGGTCGCCGTAGTACAGCGCCGGAAACCCATCTCCAGAAGTTAATGCTTGACTTGGGAAGTACTACCAGAGCTGGAGGTTTTACATATTGTGCATGTTATTAGCGCTATTGCTTTGGTTAAAAACTTGCACATTAGAGCTACACAATATTGGAAAACAGTGCGATATGCGATAGTGATGTCAAGGACTGCGATAACGATATATATTGCAATATTTTCTTTTCCCCAAAGTAATCATATTTGCATAAGACAAGTCCAATATTTTTGCATTGAAGGTTAAATATGTCGTTGTTTCAGTCACAACAGGTGTAAATACAATTTATACGTACTAAATAAAACAGTTAACTTCCTGTGAGTAACAAGAAGTCACCAACTTCATGAACTTTCATTTTTACTGTAACAAACGTTTTGTGTTCAGTGAGAGCTCCTGTTTTGACAATCTTTGTCTTTGTATTTCCTTCTCTGCGTCTGTCGTCTCTCCTGAGGCCAAAATGTATCAGAACTCTTTTAAGGAACATATTATTCTCTGCTCTTACTTTTACCTGGATCTATCGCTCAGTTAGTTTGTAAGCTCGCTTCGGCCGATGACAAAACAGCAGTTTCGAGGGTGCGCATTTAAGATGGCGTGTGATTGGTCAAAGTCAATTGCAATTGCTATGATGCAATGTCCGTATTTATATATACAAAACAAATTACTTGTAAATGACTTCTATTTGGGAAAATTATTGGTACAAATAAAAGTTGATATCTCACCATCATGTGTACCTCGGCATCTCGTTGTTATTTATATCCTGTGTTTTTATCATTCATTTTTACTTATCATTCACAAAACAGTGTACTAGAACATTTCTTTAAACATTCAACAGTCATAAATGCTCCACAGAAAGATTCTCATTTTTGTCAATATCACCCAACCACTAATGAGAGGGCATACCAAAGTCAAACCGAGCTGCGAGTGTGTGTGTGTGTGTGTGTGTGTGTGTGTGTGTGGTCTCACCAGGGTTGCAGTCGGTGAGCAGGGAGCAGATGGACAGCAGGACCTTGGAGATGGTCAGGGCAGGACTCCAGTTGTCCTTCAGGATGTCCAGACAGATCACTCCCTGACTGTTGATGTTGCAGTGGTAGATCCTGGTGCGGAACGTCACCTACAAACACACAAACGCACAACTTACATGTCGCCATTTTAAAGAACAAATACAATGCATTAGTGGGTCCGCAAAACATGACCTTACATTTTTTCCTTTTGCATATAGAATAAATTATAAAATGTATGAACATGTTTAATGGAGTCTGTGATGACTTACATGTGCAAACGCTGCCATCTATTGGTAAAAGTGGAAAATGACATTGAGGTTACGTTCATACCAACATGGCATGGTGTGATTTGACTGGAGAAAGTTACAAAACTAATGAACAGGAAATACTTTTGTTTAATTTGAAGGATGTCAAATTAAATTTAGGTAAGCTGGGTACGCCATTTCTACAACAATATAACATGTTATGGTGTTTGATTTCTTTAATGTTTTTAAAGTTTTTATGTGCACTCTTTTTGGGTCCTTTTACTCAGCAACTTTCCTGAATGCTATCGTTTTTCCTGGAAATGTTCCACCAAATGGCATTTAATTGTTAAATCTACGTTGTGGTGGCCATAGTCATACTTGGTAGAGCATCACGGCTCTAAAAGTTTCAAAACAACTGGATGTTACGGGTCACATCTGTGGCCGATTCGATGTCAGCAAAACAACTTTAGTGGAACAATGCGGCAAACTTGCACCAAGCATTTCCATGTCCAAACAACACAGTTCATTTGTGGAAGTTTTTAGTTTGGGAGAAGAGCTTCAGACTACGCGAACTGCAGCCGTTAGAAGCCAGCGGAGCCTGACCGGGCGCATCATTATGGCGTGACCTCTGACCGCAGTGATTTCTTAAGCCCGTAGTGCTGAGCGGACAGGAGCGCGGACCCTCCTCCATTGTCCCAGCCTTCTTACTATCTCATTACCACTGCAGAGCAAACAAAGCGGGCCTATTATGTTATCATAGAGTTCTGCTGTTGGGAACCACCAGCTCTTTGGTCTGACAAGAGAATCAAAGTGCACATGTTGAGAAAACTAAAGCAACCCTGATGCATTACCAAAAAGCATTCAGTAAACTTTTATGTAAAGCTGGGGGATATCACTGGTTTGTTTAATTAATAATAGAGCATATTTTTCCCAACATTCGCTTGCAAAAGAAACATTTTGTCAACAAAAGACGACCACAGACCACAAGCTTTGTTCTTCTTCCCATAAAAGAATCTGATGAATTGTAAATATCCATCCATCCATCCATTTTCTTCCCCTTAATCCATTTCTGGGTCGGGGGGGTGGCAGTCAGAGCTGCACCCAGAAGCAGAATTGTAAATAAAGTAATATAAATCTAAAATATCAACACATGTGAAAATGGTTAAATACGGCTTGTATGTATGTATGTGCTAGTGTGTGTATATGTATTGTATGTGCAGGACGTAAAATAAATATATGTTTCCCCGTTTCCCCCTTTCTGCTTGAATAAATGAATACAATGAAACAAAGGCAATAAAAAAGCAGAATCAAATAATTAGTAATATTTCAAATTCTTGTAAAAAAGAGCCCTGTCAGTCAATATTTAGCGCTTTGGGCTGAGAGTTGATCTGTTGAGTGAGGAAGATCTTCTCCTTTTCACTTTTCTGCCTGAAAAAGCAGATCTAAAGAAAAGCTGAGACCAAAAATACCTGTGAAAACGAGTGACGCAACCAAACTGTTGTGAGAGCAAGGAACTCGATAGATTTGATTACATAGTTTAGGTGAATGTATACAAAGGGACATAGAGTCATGTTTTTGCGTTTTCATTCACCCACAAAGCCAAGCCATGCTAATCCAATCCCACCCCAGGCGAATGCGTGCTTTTGTTGCGTACAAAGCAACATATAATCATACATGTATACCGTATGGCAAGCCGTGTGTCAAAGGTCACATTTGCATACCATCCACTTCAGGTCAAAACACTGATTTACTGTATTCAAAGCCTGTAGCATTTTAAACAAACACAAAACATTGGCAGACACAACCTTGAAGCCAAACGCATTAGAATTCCCTGAACGCGGCGCACATCGTTTTTCGGGTAATTTCAAGCCATTTGCAAAACATTTTCATAAGAGACACAGGCAGAGATCACCGAGCGCATCGCGAAGCTGACACAGGCGGCCCAGTGAAAAACAGTGGCGTTCCATTGTTGTGTGGGATTAATGTGGATGTCAAGAGAGCGCGCACAAGGCCACGCAGCTTGGCCCACTGCTGTCTCATTACCAGTCTGTAATCCTATCACGCTAGTGCTAATACATAATGATGCTGGCCTTATGTCACACGCACGAGCCTGAGCGCTGCTGTCAATGGTGTCACCCAAAGAGCTATGAATGAGCGCGCACAGGGCTCTCCATTAATCCAGGCATTCCTGATCAGATCTGCGGTGATGTAAGCTCCTTTGCTCTCGTGCCTCCTAAAGCCACATTCACACTCAGCATTTCCGCGGCGTGTTTTTTATTTTTTATTGGAGACCTGAAGACGGATCAACAACAATGGGTGGTATTCATAAGCTGTTAAGCAACATAAACTGCAGGCGAGAGTGTTTCCGATGGAGAGCTCGTGGTCCAGAAGTGCAGTGCAGTCCAACAGTCTCTCAATCCAATTTTGACAGAGAGTCCTGGTTTAGACTGCGTCCTGATATTTCACACGAGATGTTGAGTTGATATATTCTGCGATGGCGTACTAGTTATCTGTGTCAATCTGAATTTCACTTTTCTACTTCTCCTGCCCGCTTCAGTCATTGCCGGGTCGCGGGGGCAGCAGTCTAAGCAGAGACGCCCAGACTTCCCTATCCACACACATATCCGGGGGACCCAGAGGTGTTCCCAGGACAGCTGAGAGACATAGTCCCTCCAGCGTGTCGTGGGTCTTCCCCGGGGCTTCCTCCCGGTGGCACATAACCAGAACACCTCCCCAGGGAGGCGTCCAGGAGGCATCCGGAACAGATGGCCGAGCCACTGGTTCCTCTCGACGTGGAGAAGCAGAAGGTCCTGGGTTTAAATCCCGGTCGGAACAGGGCGCATTGGTTTGCATTTGTTTGTGTCATGGATGTTAGAATCCTAATACAAGCAGTACATACAGTAAGTATATTGGATTGGATATCACTGATACAATCCTAACCACAACATTAGTAAACAAGCACAGTTCTGCCTTTCACACCCAGAAGGCACTATCATTCTACAGACCCGTGCTTTATTGTTCCGTGTTGAAATGGCGAGTCGACAGGTTGACGTGTTGTTTGGATTTGTTTTGGCTTATAAGCATAGAAAGAAAGGGTTCAAACAAACTTCAGACTTTGAAAATATTCTTCTAAATTCCTAGCACAGTGAATCCAGGACCACAGGGAATCACACTATAATGGATTAGCTAATCATCCAAATGGAGTAATACAGCCTGTGTCCGTCATTGTGGAAGGAAAAGGCGACCCGACCTGACTGTTCGAGAATCAGGGAGTCTCAACTGTTAATCCTTTGTTTTGTTCTTAGTAACTAATAACAAATGTATTAACATATGGACATTGGTCATGCTGCTCCCTATGGTCCAATGGATCCTATGTATTTGTTATTATTTCATTTCCTGTGTTGGAACTAGATTCTCTGATCTATTATTGGCAATTTGACAACTTTGTAAAGTCCTCCGGGGCCACTGCTGTTCTGTTATAAAAAATAAATTGAATTGAAATTGGAACGTCTTAATGATTATATTTTCCAGCTCCTCAGAAAGAGCTTTTTGGTGTGTGCTACTTCCTCCTTCAAAGTTGTGTTCAATAACAACCATATTATGAATTATCGATTGTACCATCAAAATAGTAGCCGACTGTGTTAATTTATGAGTCAGAAAGAGCAGCCATCATCTGTAAATATCGCTCGAAAATGTCTACATTTTAGCGGCAGATGAAGAGCCTCATTTAAATCTATTTGCATACTAAACAAATAATCCATTAACGGCAACTATAATTGGTAGAGGAATCAAAAAATATATGCGTAATTACAGTCATCAACATTCAATTTTCCCATATTTATCTAGCATTAGTACTTGGCCTCTCTGAGCTGACACAAGTGCATTTTCGTCTTATGGAGCCATGGGTTGGATTTGATCAGCTGGGGTTAGCATCTGGCTTCAGCGAGCTAATGTACTCGCATGATCAGTTAGAGTTAGCATCTGCAGCTGTCCGATCTGTGCTCTTCACGCGCACCGCCGGACTAAAATAACACACCAGCAGGAGGCCAAGACTCGGCTTACACTCAGAGCTGACCGGGCGCACCTCTTCACGCCAACTTGCACTAATCGCTACGTTGGGTTTTGAATCGTTTGCTATAGGAGTCAGAAGATCATCAACATGTGTTTGTCATCCCAATGCTGAATCCTATATATAGTCGGTGTAAAGAAATTCTGTCTTTCTGGTCATGGAGAGGAAGCAGTTCATATTTAGGCAGCTTAAATCTGGAACAGCTTTCCTGGGTAAATGAGATCTTTTAGTCAAATCCAGGTTAAAGACAATTTTGCTTAGCTGTGCATACAACAGATTATATGTTCTACTTTTACAGAAGGTTTTAATTGTGTGATTTTAACATTTGGTGTAGTGTTTTGAAGATTGTTTTGTTGACTGTGTTGTAAAGCCCTTTGAATTGCTTCTGTCCAAATTGTGCTATGCAAATACATTAGAAGACAAGACGTCTCCATGCAAAAGTGTTATAACCAGAAAAATTTGCTTTGTCTTGTCAATAAAAAAAAAAAAAACTTTAAAGCTGGCGTACCTAACTTTTAGATTCATCCCAAATACATTTGGTTTGTCCGAACAGAAAGTTGTAAAAAAAATCCGACCACAACATTTTTTATTCATCTCATGGGAAAGCGTGTTTTCTGTTTCAGACTTGTGAAAGAGCCATGTGAGTGACTATTTGACGCTTTGAGTTATGAGCTGAGTGAGGGTGGTTCTGTTCCGTCCTGAAAACACTAAAGAGGATCTAAAGATGTGACAGAGGTCAAGAAATACATGCCTGTGAAAACTAGTGTGAGAACCACACTGTTTCATGAGCGAGAACCTAGTGAGATAGATTTTATCACAGACTTCCATCATTTAAAAGTTAAGTACCCGAGCTTTACAAGCATGCATTAAGCTAGTTTTTCATTCCTTCCATCCTTGTGTATGCTTGTACTGAAATATTACGTCTTGTTTGATCGTTCCTTTGAACCTCTCTGAAAAGTCTACAACTTCCCCTACTGCGATACAATACATACATAGAACAACCATAACAAATAAAAACCTTTTTCCAAAACACTTTTTTCTCCTCATTCATCGCAGAATATTCATGTTTCTTTCACGGTCATTAAAATTCAGCAGAGGCCTTTAGTGTTGCGTTAGGCGCTTCACAAAACAGATTAATTATCAAGATTTCCCAAGCAACTGTGTTATTTACTGATACAAATGTGTCCTCTGCCCCGACTCTGATTCTGATTTGCATTCATTCCAAAGCAAAACAAATGCCCCACAGTTGACGTCTCATGCTCAATCGCTGACAGCCGTTAACAGACACATATTTCCCGACCTGAGAGCCGCGGTGAGGGCTGAGTGGATGTGTAATGTGGGAAGCCTAGACTAAGCATGCATACCCGGAGCCCACAAAGCCGCAGGCAGGCTAGGCAGGCTGCTCGCTGGAGGCTGGCCAAGCTCTGCGCAGGGCTAGCAGTGTGCGCGACAGGAGGAGAGCAAAAGAATTAAGATTCAAAAGCTGCTGTTTGGGATATTCTCACCAGCATTCATGAATAATATAGGCTGTTGGTTTAACAATACTGTGTGTGAAGCTCAAAGATAACATTATATGCATGTGGGGAGTTTCTATTATTGGCCATAGAGGAAAAATCACCATAAAAAAGTGTGTTGGCTTGCACTGAACAACTTCTCCAACTCCTCTGCCTGCTTCTCCATGGAGATGTCGATGCTTTTCCAAGAGTGTTCACATTTTAAACCCCCACTTTGTCTCCTCTCGGCAGTCATGGGGTTCAGCAACTGTGACATCATGGAAAACTACTTCTCCATCATGAAAAAGTACTTCTCCATCATGAAAAAGTACATCATGAATCCAAAACAGAAGGATCAAGTTACAAGGCTGTGATTTTTGTTTGATTTTGAGGGGAGTACTGACATGTTTCTGCCGAAGGAAGCAACTCGGACTTAGAGTGGCACAAGGACCGGCCTCCTGCTAGGACTCTGAAGAGTACAGGGACTGGCCTCCTGCTGGTCTCCAGAGTAGAGTTTCGCTTTTCAGCCTGAGCCCGAGCAGGCCCGAACTCAGGTCGGGCCATGGGCCTGCTCGGGCTCGGGCCTCATTTGGCGCTCAGCTGTCGGGTTTGTGCCGTAGCATGCTGTGGTCAACAACGAACAGGAATAATAGTAGAAATGGATCAAGTGGAGACAAAACAAATTCAAAAGTGGAGACTAAACTTGCAATTGGAAGGTGAGTGCGTACAACGGGAAATCAGATGTGTCTGATTTCCCGTTTTACGCACTCGGGTTCTGTCGGGCTCGGGCCTGTTATACAGCGTTCATTGGTCGGGCTTATACGGGCTCGGGCTTAACATTAGCGGGCTCGGGCCGGGTCGGGCTTCATTTTTCAGGCCCGAACAAAACTCTACCCCAGAGTCAGGACCAGGTCATGGGGAGGCAGTATTTCAGATTTATGCAGCTAAACTCTGGATCTGTCTTCCTGAAATGTGAGACAGGCTACAACTTTGACAATGTCACTGTTATCTGTGCATACAACTGAAGGATTATATCTTCATAAACTTTGTTATATTTATGAATTGAATGCCTTGTTTGATTGTTACGCACTTTGAGTTACCTTATGTATGACCTGTACTCTACAAAGTAAACTTGCCTTGCCTATTCTGTTCTGGTGGTGGGTCAAGGAAAATTGATAAATTGCTCATTTCTAAAGTGCTGCAACTAGATACATTAACAATACATTCACTCACACTTCTACCAAATGAAAAGTAGCCATGAATACAAATAAATAGATAATATACACACAAATATATTAATAAGTTAATACATATTTTAGGAGGGTTCACCTTGTCCTCTTATTATATTTCGACAGCATACTTCAGTCTTCTTCTTACATGTGTCTGGTATATAAGAACCAAATAACTACAAAAAGATCAAGACTTTAAAAATCTAAAAAAACAAAAATGTATGGATTCATCAACATTTATGGACATTGGTCATCTGCCCCTTAACGCCAATGGCTCTACGTGTTTTTTATTATTGCATTTCTTGTGTTTGATTCTCAGTTTGATCTGTGTTGACGAATCAACAATTTTGAAAAGTGCTCGGAGATAACTACTGCTGTGATTTAGGCTTGTACAAAAATAAATCGAATTGAATTGAATAATAAATAAACAAGACAACAGAGAAGAAAGAACCACAGAACTCAAGCAGCGTTTAAGGCAGCGTTGGTCCAGCCGCAGATCAAAAACACACACACAAGACTTTCTGCATGTACCCAAGATGCAATGGGTGAAGTCGCGGGGTATCAGGATTACATAACAGCCGCCTTTGAAATACAAACGAATACCATATTACTCTTTCAAAAGCGCACTGGTTGTTTTGTCAGTTCTGTGGTTTGAACAAGCCCCAAAAACAAGTCCTTGTGTTCGAACGTGCGGGTGAAAAGCTGACCGCCCGCTGGGACAATGGCGCTATTGTTCTGCGGCCTGAGTGTCCCGTGGGGAGGGGGCGCCGTGTGTGTGTGTGTGTGTGTGTGTGTGTGTGTGTGTGTGTGTGTGTGTGTGTGTGTGTGTGTGTGTGTGTGTGAGTGTGCTGGTTCATTGCCTCAGGGCTCCACTCACCTTGGGAGGTTTGAAGGGGTAGTCTGGAGTGAAGGCGATATCCAGGAAGAAGACTCCTCCCTCGTACACAGAGCCGGGGGGCCCCAGGATGGTGGACCTCCACTCGTAGATGTTGTCTCCTTTGGGGCCGGCGCTGCATTTTAAAAAACACACAGAGAGAAAGAGAAATGGGATAGGTTTAATCTAGAGCAGCGGGAGGCTCTGAGGAAAAGGGAGGGTTTAATAATGCATCTGGATCCGCCCCGCAGCGACAAGCCAGCACAAATAATGAGTCTCATAATCAGGAGATAAATCAGAGTTAGCTTTAATCCCAGGAAACTAGTTGACTACCTGTGGCAGAGAGGAATTGGCACTCACTGAAGTAAATGGATAATTATTATGGCTTATCTGTGGCTTGAAAAACAACGTGATGGAGTATTTTAGCTCTGGCATTTTGTGTTTTGGGCTTTGAAAGAGCGGGGGTGTAGAAGCGAAAGATCACGTCTGATCAGTGGCGCTCTAGACAGTAGCGTGATAGTAAGAGTAAATCACAACGAACAAATGAAGAGGTCGTGCAGCAGTAATGAACTCCATTTGACAGCAGAAATGTCCAGAACCAGAGTGGACATGACAGTAAATGAATAGTTTTTTCCAAGGGCTGATATTGGTAGCTAGTAGTCATAGAGAACAATTACAGATACATAGAGGAAATTTGAAGAAAAGGGTGTCAAATTGTTGAATAATGCAAAGTTACTCCTCAAACTGTGAAGAGAGATTGAAACTTTTTGAAGACATGCACTGGGTAGACCCGCCCATGCTCAACTCCGCAGCTTCCTGATTGGTCAACATTCATTCAAATCCTTGAGGTCCCTCGTGATTGGTTTAACTATTCTCCTCAAGCAAATCTGTCTGTGGAAGGCGTTATGCAAAGGTTAGGGACAATTTAAAATATATTATTGTAGAACGTTATTCAATACTTGTACATAATAGTACAGTGTCCCATGTAGAACATTTAAATATACATACATTCTGGCAGCTTTATCTGTATGTATATGTGAAAAAAGTAAGTACAAAAAAATAAAGATACATTTTTAACAATAAATGTATAGTGAGTCGAGTTGTGTTCCAAGATGAGGTCTGGCACAGCTGTTGTGGTTACAGTGGACTAATGTTTGTGTTTCCCTTGAGTTGTATTGTTATTCTTTCGACCAGACTAATAATTAGACTTGTGAACAAAGCGGTATCAGTGCTGTACAAATGACAAATTGGTGTGTTGTTTAAGTGTTATTTGAGGGGGGAGAAGATTACCAAACGAAGCAGGGATGAAGCTCAAAATATGTTTCTGCTGAGGAAGCACAAAGACGTCTGTTTTGCATAATGTGAGTCCTTTGAAAACAGATCTCTGAAACAGCTGTACTCACAAATAACATTACAATCTACAAAATCAAGGCTCTCTTCAAACAAAGCAAAACGTTTTTTAGTCACCTTTTATTTCTCCTTATAATACATATGATGTATTGAAGGGGGTTGGAATCAAATAAGCATTTGCTTCATCCAAACCGTTTTCGAACCAAGTTTATTTGTCTGCTATAGTGATGTATGTAAAAATTGAGCAGGTTCAAAATAAACAAATCAAATTAAATATGTTCTATTGTCAAGGACTACAGATGGAAAGTAGCATGGTGCTAAATCTGGTGCAGCCATCTTTCTAATGAAACTGCACATTGTCCTTAATAAACTAAACTCTAAACCCTAAACCCTAGTATTCCTGCCCGCTTTGCTAAGTGCAGAGGAGCGTGCAGCATACACAGCTGTGGGAAGAAGAGCTCTAATCCAATCCCATTTTGTGTTGGAATCAGGCCAGATGCCCCTGTTGGGTTCACTCCTTCACTCTCATCGCTTCCACACACAAAGCCCGACCGAGGGAACCACACATGTGAAATGAGAGAACGAGAGGACGACTGAGGCTTTGCAGGACGCAGCACATAGGAAGCCGACATGATAAAAATAGCCGGTGAGCGACAAAGGTTTGATGGGGATGACTGAGATTATTCACTTGCGCCAGACTAAGGGGGTGACCTTCTGTGACGGATGCATGAACAGGATCTCATTGATGTTGGCATGGAAGATAGCACTGGGAATCAACTGTTTGACCTCAGGATACGCTCCCGATCTGTGCCTATGTGTCAGTATGAGTGATATTATGTGGAGAGACATACAGAAGAGGAAGGATTTGGAATTAAATTGATTAAATTTGATTCCGTTTATTTTTGTATAGCACTAAATCGCAACAGAAGTCATCTCAGAGGACTTTACAAAATTGTTGAATTTGCCAAACAGATCAGAGAATCAAACAGTTCAAACACAAGATATTACATTTTCAAAACACATAACGCCATTGGTCCATAAGGGGCAGATGATCAATGTCCATAAATGATGTTGAATGTTGAGTGTCCAGGAGCATCACCCATGTGTCGGCAAGGAAAAACTCTAAAACTCAGTGGGAAAAGGTAAGGAACCCTGGGGAGAAATAGAGATTGGGATGCTAGACAGACGGGCAATAGATCCAACCTTATCTCGCTTACTCATTGTAGTTATAAGCTTTAGGCTTTCCAGATGGCGATCTGAAAAAGTTATGAATGGTACAGACAAGGGCTTTCTAAATTTACTTTGTATAATATATTGTTTTTTTGAATAAATAAGTTTCAATGATATGAAACAATGTATTTTCCTTAGCTGAACATTTTCCTTCAGATTCAGATTCAGTTAATTTAAAACCACTGTGTGTCTTAAACATACATTTTGAAGCGCTAAAAAATGTAGTATACCACACTTTGATTATTTTCTGCTCTGTAGATCTAAAGTGAGCACTTGGACAAGCTGGCATACAGTTTACCAGAGAATTTTCACTCCCAACGCCAAAATGTTTTAATCAATAGCTGAAAATCTGTGCCGCACTGCAATGTTTTGAGCAATTAAGATTTTGAGCAAACATGTAGCCAGCCTGATGAATTCTTAAACCTGTTCCTTTGAAAAACAGGTAATCGTCCAACGGTCATGTCTCTTTTATATTAACTAAGTGTTGTGCTTAAATGTGTTTCCACCGTTGATAAAATATTCACACACTTCAATACCCTGTTTATTTATCTAATTTTCTTTTTTACACATTCTTTCAACCAGTACTAATTTGTCTCTTTTCCGAAAAACAACCTGGAGCTTCACATTTGTTTTGCTCCTGTTGAAAATGTCATCACATCAACGAACAACTCGCGCTGGTTCGATCCACAAACAAACACTAAACAGCCTGAAGGAACCCCTTGAGTACAATCCTATTCAAAGTAGCACCAGGACATATATTATACACTACAAATGATCTTTTTCACCACGCGAGAATATTGCTGCAAGTCCCATCCACTCTATAACCAGGGACCAAACATTACACAATAACACAATTTTGTCTACTTTAGTGCACCAGATTATAAAACTGTTATAGTGGTTATGACAGCCTGGTCTAATGAGGCATGACACGTCCATATTGACTGACATTTAACAAAGCTGAAATTGGCTGAATGAAGAAATATCACAATGAGACATTCCGTGCCATAACCGTAACACTAAAGACCATGTTTAAGATCTAAAACGCACACCCATAATGCATCATAATAGTTCTCTGCAGCCTCCCCTGACGCTGGCCCCCTCTTGGAGCCTGGTACAGTGGCGGACGGGACAGCAGACTCAGGCCTGGGAGGAAACAAGCATCTATATTTTTACCTCGCCGGCTGTGGAGAGCTGTCAGAATGATAAAGAGCGCGGGGGCTGCGAGATTCACCTCGGGGTGCGCAAACTCCTATTTATCCTCGACAACTTGACTTCTTCTTAGATTCACTTCAATGGCTTACAGTTATCGGAAACTCGAGCCGGCTGCTTTTGGAGAATGTTAAACGGAGTGCGATTGTGTGGACAGGAGTGAGACGTTTGTTGATTTTTGTTCACGTTGTATGTCTTTTGGAAGAACTGATGCGATGCGGAACAGCAGATATGATGGTGGGGTGTGATAAAAATAAATGCAAGGACACAACTGGGTATATCTTTGAAACTATGAACAAGTATAAATGCTGAGGAGAATATTAACCAACTTATTATGTGTAACCCATTTGGGAAGCACAGTGGGTTTTATTGACAGTGGCTTTTCGTATGCAGTTTGCATGTTCTCTGGTTTCCCCAACCACAAAAAAATAGTCTATCATAACACCTGGGACCAAGACTCCACTGAAAAAGCAATTCTGAAAGTTATTATTAAAGGGTTAGGGGTAAATACATAGTAAAGAAGGTGCCAAAGTAAGAAAAGGGGCTAAAATGGCCTATATGACTTTGTCCCATTGGCAAATATTGTTATTTCAAAAACTGATTTATTTTCTCATTCCAAGGGAGACATTTATTGCATCTTTTGCCTGTCCCATTGGCAGGCAAAATGTGCTAAAATTAGATATATTTTGCTAAATAGTGGCATTTTTTTAAATCACATTTTGTTTTGTGTTAACAGTCAAACGAGAACACCAGATGATCCATTGTAGCATCTCAGAGAATTCCACTCACTATCAAATTGGTTGAATATGAAAATCTGCATGCATTCTGAGTCTAAACATTAAAAACACAACTCAATACATCCAGGTCACATTGGCACATGTATAATTTCCTTTTTTTTCTTGCCTGGTCCAATTCCCTTAATGTTGCTCTAATTGACGTAATAAACAGTGGCGTCCGTCGATGAAAATTAATGCGCCGTCCGAGTTCTTTGTCGGCTTTGAAGCATATTTAAAAATGTCATCACTCCAGAGCGCAGACAGCACCAGATTCTCATAATAGGAGTGGGACAGCTCTGGTGGAACGCTCAATAAAGGCCGCATTAGATTAGTATCAGTAAACATTAGGCTGTGTTGCTTAGTCGCGCATTTTGATTCCAGGAAGAGCGGTGCGTTTTTACATCTTGTGAAATGTAATATTTGTTTGACTCCACCGTGCAATCGGATACACCCTTGTAACGCGGGGGTATTAGAGTTTCACCTGTTCCACCTTTGCAGTTCTTGACTTGTTCTGGGAGCTATTTCTGCAGCATCAAAACAACAAAACGGAAAATGAGAGCCCTTTATTGAA